GGCGGCCGGGGGGCGGGCGGCGGCCGCGGCGAGGAGCGGGGGTGGGGAGGCGCCGTCTGGCTCGGGCTGGGCCGGCGGGGAGCACGAGCGAGCCACGGCGGCCCCGTGGGCAGCCTCGGTGGCCGACAGGTGAGACGCGCGTGGGGCCGGGTGCAGGACGGTGAGGGGAAAGCGAGTGGGCCTCGCGGCGCCGGGACCCAGGTGAGCACAGCCCGCGGGGCCCTGGGCGCATTGTCCGCGGGCGGCGCCCCTCAGCGCCCCCTGCCGGCCGGGCTCGGTGGGGCCGGGGTGCGGCGGGCTGGGGCCGGGGCGTGCGCGAGTTCCTTTGTTCGTCGCCCCCGCCCGGTCCCCGCCGCCCCCGCCAACATGGCGCTCGCGGGGTCCCTGCCCCAGCCCCGCGGCCGCTTCCCGCGCGCTTTGTTCCGTGCCGGGCGGGGGGCGGGGGCGGGGGCATTGCGTAACCGGGCGGGGGAGGGGCGTGGCGGGACCCCCGCGGCGGGTCACTCCGGTGACGCCCTGCCTGGGGGGCTCGGGGCGCGGGCCTGCGTGACCTTGGGTTTGCCTCCCGGAATGCGCCGGATAGATGTGCGGTGCGGATACTGCGCAGCGCCGGGGGTCGCGGTCCCTGGCGGCTTCCTGCACGGATGGTGCGTTCTGGGCCTTTCCGGGAGTAGGGGGTGCTGGGTTGAGAAATGGCTTCAATCATCCACGTCGTTGCATGCGCATCTCAAAGTTTGTTTACGCAATTGTTTTTATATTGATTTGGTCTCGATGATCAGCGAATTGGGTTTCGGGTTTTGTAAGGGTTTTTCGGGGTGTGTGTGTGTGTGTGTATATGTGTATATGTGTGTGTGTGTGTGTGTGTGTGTGTGTGCAGTCTTACTTCTGGTTTAAAGGCTTGTTTATTTATCGTGTACGTCCAAAAGCTATACAAGATACGTTTAAGTGTTGTAAAGGATTTCGGTGTGACTAGCGAGGAAGATGGTATCCGTATCGAAATGCGAATGCCTCACTAACTTTCCTTGGAATTTTCTGGAAGAAGCTGCAGCCTGAAAGGATTGATGGAGAGTAATTGCCTTCTGCATAGCTTTTGTTAGGGAGTGAAAATGAAACCGGATCTTAGACGTTTTTAACCTACACATCCTGAGCACACTCCTGAGGTGGTGAAATTTTGGAAAGATAGAAGAGAGGAGGCGCATCTTTAGCCTTCCTTTTCACCCCTTCAGCATTAATGGGCGAACAGGATATACAGGATGTCCGTTATCGGATTTGATAATTGAGTATTAACGTTTTCTGCTATGTGTATAAAGACGTGTAGTGTTTCTTCCAATAAGTAAAACGGAATTAGCTTAAAGTCCTACTGGAATTCCTAAGAAATGGATCAAGCAAAAGGGCTTTCAGTCTAAATTAATTTGAGGTCTCCTGTACTCTAGACTGGTCTTGAACCCAGTATCCTTCTTTCAGCCTGGAGTACAAGCCCACCGGTGAGGGGCCATCTTTTTATTCTTAGGATTTTTGAGTGTATGTGTATGGTTGTTTTGTCTGCATTTTTGTCTGTGTACCACGTGTGTGTCTGGTGCCTAAGGAGTCCAGAAGAGGGCTCTGAACTTCCGGGTCTGGAGTCAGGCAAATGTGAGTGCTGGGAATCAAACATGGGTCCTTTGGAAGAATAGCCATTGCTGCTCCTAACTGCTGAGCCATGCTTAAGGTTTTTTAAAGATAGATTTTCACTCTGGAATTTCTCTAGTCAAGCCCACTTTTAGTGTTCAAAGGAGATGTTCTAAGACTTTGTGGGCTAGCTAAGGTCTGATGCTGCTTGTCTCTTACATAGGATAGTGTGGGGTTGCTATCCTGCACTCCACATCCAGGGTTTACACTTGCTCACTCCTCATCAGGCCTAGTGACAGGACTGTAACCCCAACTGTTGGGGAGGATTGGAAGTTTAAGGCCAGCTTGGATAATTTAAGATCCGGTTTCAAAAAGTCAGAAGTCAGTAGTATAGCAGTTCCCCCGCACATGATGGACTCCAACAAAGTGGCTACCATGTAAACGTTTCTTAAATAGAGTAGGTTTTAGGGAATGAAGGCATTCTTTCGTGTTGTTGATTCACCCCCACCACATACCCCCAATCTGACGATAGAGGCGGGGCTGGCTGTTTAGGTAGTGTCTTTAATTGCCAGCTCCAGAGCAGGGGCAATATGATGGGGAAGCCCTGTGCCCGAGGCTCTGCTGTTCTCTGTCATTCTGAGGGATGAGGTGCCCTGTTCCTCTCTCCTTAGGATCACAATTCACATTTTCATTTTGGGAACCCTGAAAAATATTGCTGTTATTGAGCTTGGAACTTCCTTTTATGGGGCAGAAGAAGGCTGAAAACAAAGGATGAAAGGGATTGGTGGACTGAAAGTTACTTCCCTTTCGAAGTGGAGACCCGGAGAACTCAATAGAAAAACAGTTCCATATCCGATCACTTGGATGGGGTTTGCCAAGAATCAAAACTGAGCGCCCTCACGGAGGGGCTGCTGTTGTCTTGTGGATTGAAATGGCCTGCTGGGGAAGTCTGGTTGTTGTCTTTGATTTTTCTGAAGGTCAAATAACCACTTAGTTTCAGTTTGAGCTGCTTCCGTAGGACTCACGACTCTGTTTTGATCTCTGGGAGTCTGGTGCAAGACTGAACTTGAAGACCATGGCCTCTGGACTTTTTATTTGACTGCATTCTTATGCTGTATCTCAGGTAGTCGTCCTCCCATTAGAGAGGGATGATGTGGGATTGATGTGGTTTGTGTGTGCCTCTTTGTTTTGTGGGTGGTCCTAAATCCAAAATTGCACCCTTACCATTTGTAAGAGTCTCTTAGAAAAACTTTTTGGTAGAGCTTGGTCTTTGGGGTAGCTAACACAGTTACACCTGGACTGACTGTATTGTCAATTATTTGCAGCATTTTTTTTTCTACTGTGTTAGAAATAACATGAAGGGAGCCAGCCATGGCATGCACCTGTAATCCCAGTACTAAGGGGTGGAGGAGGCAGGTGGATGAAAGTTTCAGGCAACACAGATCTCACAGATCTATCGTTGTGGAATGCTTAGCTGTTGGAAAGGCTATCTGCATGCTCATTAGTAGAACCTCAGTTTGATGGAGGATATTTAAAAACAAGTATTTGCAGCTAAATGTTTTTCTTTCTCTCTTCCTAAATGAGACGCTGCTTTTTTTTTTTTTTCTAGCTGCTTTGTTCAGTTTGGAAGCCTGGTGTTGTGAAAACGTAGTTGAGGACCTTGCCCTCTGGGTGGAACTAACCTCTGTGCAGTACTGGGCATACACTTGCAGGAGAGATTTAAAGCCTTCAGCCCCTGAGCTGCAGCCTGGGAGGAAGCATCTCTTTCTCCAGGCTATAGTGACTTGTAGAGTTCTTCCGTGTAGTTCCAAAACGACAGCTGGACAAGTCAATGTTGATCCCTTCCCCTTCCTTCTCAGCTCAGCCACAGTTACTTGCGTCTGTTTTGTCTGTGTCCTTAAGTAAACAGCTTGGTTGGAAGTACCTTCGAATTGAATCTAGTTTAAGTTGGTTTTACTGGGTACCTAATTTAAAATCATCCTGAGTCAAAGCTGGAGAGGTTGCTCAGCTATTAGGAGCACTTGCTGCTCTTGCAGAGGACTCTTATCTGGTTCCTTGCACCCACATGATAGCTCACAGATTTGTAGTTCCAGTTCTAGGAACTCAATTGCCCTCTTCTGGCCTCCATAGACATTGCTTGTACATGGCGTGCACGCACACACACACACACACACAGAGTCAAAACATCCATGAACGTTAGATAAAAACAAATCTTTAGAAACATAGTATTGTCCTGTAGGACTAAGGTACATAATAAGAAGTTTGCCTTTACAATCTAAAGGGTTTATAGGGAAGTTACAGTTATGCTTACAGTGATTTATGTACCCAAGAATGAGAAGAGGAAGATGTGCAGTAGGAAAGAAAAGAAGTTCAAATGGCGAGTGGGACAGTAGGAACGAAGTTGACATTGGTGGTAGTTAGTAGTCTTCAGGGAGAGGAAGTATCCTTCCATTCACGCTTTGAATTCCAGGTGGAAGTTACCTTTACTCTCAGGAGGCCTTAAATACCTTATCAGGAGCAGGCCAAAGTTCACTACAGTTCATTCTTGGCACATAGTAACTCCAGTGGACACTGAGATGTGTTAACACCTGTAGTTTAATGTGTCTGATACTTGTATGAGAACAAATTTAGGGCCAGATTTTGAATACTGTATTTTACATGAGTGTAGTTGGTATTTATTTATTTATTTATAGTAAAATGTAGTTGGTATTATTTGAGACAATGTCTCACTGTGTGGGGGACAGTGGACCATGCCAGGAAACTTAAGGTAAGGTAGAGCCAGTCTGAGACCCCAGCACTCAGATACCTACCTGAGATGATAGGTGCCTCCCTGCTCCCTGCCAGATTCCTGACCTAGAACACGTGATCACACTCCCCATGTAGGTCAGGTATCCCAAAACTGATTTCTCCATGCTTATGAGGTACCTAGAGGCCCTGAGGGTTTAGCCAATAAGCCTCCCTTCCTGGACTGGTCGTTCCTCCCTGCAAAGTCTCTGGTCCACTCTGGGAAGTTGGTATTCGTCCATTTTCCACGATGAACAGTCCATTAACGGTATGGATAAACATGGACTGTCTACTCCATCAAAACCACCTTGGGAGAAGGCCTTTAAAGGCCTACAGAGCAGCACTAAGTCTCCTGTGGAAGGCCTCTCTGTGCTTCCAGACAACTGCCTACCTTCACTGATGAGCTAAGTGGAAGTGCCCCAGGTTTGTTGTTGTCCTCAGCCCACAGGCCCTCAACGGTCACAGCCCGAGGGTCCCCCAATCCTTCATTCCTGACTCTGCAGCACCCCAGTGGCGACTGGGTGCTGGGGGTCAGGAGACCCCAGCTTCGGCCTCTATCTCAGACTATGTTCTCCCACCCTGAGTGGTGTCTTAACACTACCGTAAGGCCCAGCACCAGATGGCTGAGGTACAGGGAGACCAGGCAGCCAAGCACTCCCTGCATTTTGCCTCCCTGGCCACAGTGTGTCCCACACCCCAGCAGTGGGGCAGAACATGGATCCACAGCTGTGCAGCCCTTGATAATCTGAGACTTGCTCTGTAGACCAGGTTGTCCTTGAACTCACAGAGATCTGCCTGCCTTCCAAGTGCTGGGGCTAAAGGAACAAGCCTCCACATGTTGCCAGGTGCTTATTTTTTAGGACAGGAAACCATATTAACATAGGACCAGGACTAGACTTCTGTTCTAGAGCAGCATGAAAGGTGGGTGGGCCTCTTAGAGAAGTGATGAAGTCAGCTGAGTCTAGGAAGTTGGTCTGAACTCACCAGCATGTTCATGTCATGTTGAAGTAGATCTATTCAGTGTGGGCATTAGTCACATTTTGCCAGAGTAAGTGAAAAACCAAAGGTTGTTATTTTTCTAAGTAATGAGGATCAGGCTTTGTGCTGAACAAGGCCTTGAGACTACTAAGTAATTAAACAAAAGACTTTGATTTTTTTTAAAGGGATTAAAAAAAAGATTTATTCATCATATGAATTCTCTATCTGCATGTACACCTCCATGCCAGAAGAGGGCATCAGACCCTGTTATAATTGT